TTTTGAATTATAGAAAGTCTTCTTTTTTAGTATAAAAGTAGTAATTATTTAAATATTTAAATTTTTTTACACTTGTGAAAAAAATGATGGATAAATTTATATGTACATAATTATTGTACATAATGGATTACATAGGCCCCATGTGGAAGAAATTCGGCCGTGGATGTAAAGTGTGGAAAAGTCAAAAATTGTAAACTACCGATGGATGCGCGCCACATGTCAATTATGTAATGTATTATGTAAATGATTATGTACTTGTAGCATGGTCCAAAAATGATTATATTGAAGGATTTCATAATAATTAGTCGCTTATGACCTCTAAATTCTCGAGGATGGCCCTGATTACATCCTCAACTGAATTGGACCCTAAATTCAGTAAGTACAAAGTTTAGGGGTTAGATTCCAATAAGTGAGAAAGATGTATTATTAGATGAGAAGGTGACATGCTAAGATTATTTAGTGATGAGAAGGATCACCATATGTTAACGATTATGATTTGGACACTTTTTATACCTTTGAGATGTTGATGAAATAAAGTGAAAATAAATTTTGAGATCAATAATTTATTTGGGCTAAATGTGTAATAACTGAAGAAGTGAAAATTACCCTATCAATATTAAATTCATTTTGAAGCTTGTATTAAATGACATTATGGACTCGAGAAAAAGTGAATTTGAATGGGTAATATCTTAATTCCTCCAGGCAAATTTTTTTTAAAAAAAATACGTGCTTCTACTCTTTAACTAACTGAAATCAGAAAACATATTCCACAATTATAGTTTGAAACAATATGTGAATTTTAATATATAAGACATTGCACGTAAATAGAATAAACATCCACGTAAATGAAAGTAGGAGAGTTCGATTTATAGATTTCCATGCGTCTTTTCAAATAATTGCATCTTTTGACATAAATAAATGTGAACTATTAGATTACACATTTTCATATTTAGCCCCAGTTTGGCTCCCATTAGAATTTTAATACATTTTTCTCTTTCTTTTTTCAACCACACATTTTTCAATAAAATAATATAATACGTAAATAAAAAACTTTTCCTTATTTTTGAACCACACATTCTTCCATAAATTACCATTCCAAAACAAATTATTTCCAAAAATCCCACGGGGGCCAAACAAGGGCTTAATGGTGGATATTGCACCCTACCAAATGTTATGATTTTTCATCGTGCACCTTTTTAAATAGTCACACTCATTTCAGAACATGTTTCTTTATATAATTGTATGTAATCCTTTGCAATTGAAGAGATTACCCAATTCACACATTAAGGCTTAAGCCCTTGAATTCCAACAAGAAGTTCGAAGGGCGCTACTGAAAGACCTTTTTTA